ATCTTGTAATTAAGTAAAAGAGTGTAGGAATACTTTGTTGTAAGTAAAAGTCCTAAGAACAGTGAGTAAATGTACTTAATTCCACCTGTTTACATACTATCTAAATTACAGCTGAGCTGTGTAAAGTAGCTGTTGTGTTAAATGTTCATGGTTATGGATAGGGAGAAGCTAAAAACATGCACAGCCAACATTAAACTAGTAACACACAAACCAGGCTGTCCTTCACATTATTTCATTACTTGTATAGCACTTTATCTCTGCTCACCATTGCACCTGCCACAGCGTGAACCAGCGTCTCGTAAGACAGAAGGCCGACAGCAGAGCCACCGTTGTCGGACATCTCTGCCTTCTCTCCCGGTCTGACCACAAAACACCGGAAAGTAACCGCGGAGTGACCCGAAGAGAGAGAGCCGGTGGTCGGTCTGTTTTTCTAGCTGCGGGGAAATGTTTGGCAAATTACAGAAACTGTCTCTGCTCTGACTCCAGTGTTTAAAAGCTTTGAGGCAGACAGATTAGAAAGGGGAAAGTGACGCGCAGTGTTTCCTCCAAAGGTTTCCTCCATGGTTTCCTCCCAGAGCCCATTCATTGGTTGTCAACTTGTCCTTCAGTCGTTCTTATTTTTCTTCTTCTGTTGGCGTTTGGAAAGCCTCAAAGACGCACGACAGCCCCCTACTGAGGTGGAGGGTGCAGTGGTGTAATGCCGTTTGGAACCATGTTTGGAACACAGAGGAAGCGAAATAATCATGTAAATAGAAAGCAGTGAGAATATCGTTTCTTTTTTACTTTTGTGTTGCTTTTTCTTGGCTTTTGCAGTATAGTATTTGCATTTGTTGAATGTTTATTAAGATCTTTACTTGATTAAAATAGGCTATTATGCCACACTGTGGAAATATTTCACGAAAAATTAAAGTCTTGCATTCAAAAGTACTAAAGCTTTATCAGCAAAATGCACTTAACCCTTCTCTTGCGTTTCGGGTCAAAAGTGACCGAGTAGACTTTGTTTTTTATCATAAATATTGTGTTTTTCATCCAATTGCCTCAAGACCTTATGCTATCCTCCATACTAGGCCTCTGAACATATACAATTGATGATCACCACTTGCATTGAATTGTAAGTGATTTATTCAACAGTGAAACACCCAAGATGTTATCAGTCAGAATTGACCGCCATAGGACACACACACACACACACACACACACACACACACACACACACACACACACACACACACACACACACACACACACACACACACACACACACACACACAAACAGGCACACTCTCACACTCTCTCTCACACACACATTTCTTGTGCTTATGTCCCCCCACACCTTCCAGACAAAACCATTACTCTAAGTTACGGGAACCTCTCACTTTCTCGCGCTTTATAGGTGCGAGCTCTGTGCCCCTCGAGAAAGAAAAACCTCTCACTTTCTTGCAGTAAATGCCCCTCCATTACTGTCTCTCATGCAGTTATATTTGTGCCTTGCTCACATTTGACTTATTGACACAATGAGTAGGCGACCGATTAGGCGATTTTCTGTCAGAGAGGCTCTGGACAAATGTTTTGAACCAGATGAAGAGGAGATTGAACCAGACAGGACGATGTCTCAGAAATGGAAGACAACAGCGATCCAGACTATGAGCCTGACCAACAGTCAACAGACCAGGAAGAAGCCCCTGAGGGAGAGGCCCCTGAGGGAGAGAAGCCCTGATTATTTATTTTTTCTCTAAATGTTCATTGAGGAAAACAGTATCAGTGTCTTATTTTATATTCATCACAGTGAATGCAGTGAATGCTGAACTTGATGGGCCCACCGGTGGGTCCGGACCATAGTTGAAAGTACACAATGAAACACTGACTTGCTTGTATCAAATCAATTCATCCCATACATAATTGGAACAGGTAGAATCTCAGCTACAACACCAACTAAAGCATTTCCATCTCCAGTAAACAAAGTCTACATGGCAAGCGTTTTTATAATATACAGTAATTACAGTAAGCACTATCTTTCAATTCAATTCAAAACCTTTATTTATTCAGGTGAAAACCCATTGAGATCATTGACCTCTTTTTCAATGGTGACCTGCTGCAAGTAGGTGCCAACATGAATACAAACACGACAGAAAAACAAAGAGGACATCATATGGCATATTTACATTGACTACAGTTTGTATAGCTAGTAGCATTTACAGATACCAACAGTTTCCGATTGGATAGCATCTATCCTTGCTTTAAAAACATGTAATGGAACCAAACTGCTCAACTTCCATTCCTTTTGCAGACTGTTCCAAGTTAGCGGAGCTGCGCATCTAAAAGCTGTATTCCCTAAGACAGTCCTAGCAGTTGGCACATTTAAAACAACCACAGCATTCGATCTCAGGCAGTAGCCATTTACAATACGCCGTGAGATCAGGGAGCAGATGTAGGATGGAAGTTTCCCTAACATTGTTTTGTAAATAAAAAGATACCAGTGATTGAGCCGCCGTACGGTTAGTGAAAGCAAACCTGCCCTTGCATACAGGGTACAATGATGGGTTAATGCTTTACAGTTTGTCACAAATCTCAGTGCACTGTGATAGGCGGCATCTAACTTGATCAGGTAATTGGCCGGTGCATTCATATAAAACATATCACCATAGTCCAGCACAGGTAAAAAGGTCACAGTGACTAGCCTTTTCCTGGCCTCAAGTGAGAAACAGGACTTGTTTCTGTAAAAGAAACCTAGCCTAACCCTCAGTTTTTTTAGCAGGTTATTGACATGCAGTTTAAAAGAGAGACAGTCATCAAGCCAGATACCAAGGTATTTGTAACAGGTTACCACTTCAAGTTTTTTCCCTTGCGTAGTTACAATATCTAAAACAGGCTCTGGTGTCTTTTTAGCTTTTGAAAAGAGCATTACCTTGGTTTTATCCACATTTAAAAGAAGCTTTAGTTCAGAGGAGCTGATCCTGAACCAGTGTTAAAAACAGCCCTGTAATTTAACCAACCGCCTCCTTAATGGAGGTACCCTGCACAGTACAATCACGGTAATCCATCCGCGCATACAAATGTAAAGTAGCTCATCACAATTTCACCTAACCTGTTGAATATAAGGAGAATAAAAGAGGACCTAAACAGAACCTTGTGGTACACCATTAGAAAATGTTTAACCCATCAGAAGACAGCCCATCAAAATGAAAACATTGGGAACCTTTCCAGAAGAGGTAGCTTCACAAACCAACCCTACTGCATGCGCGGAATGCCAATACTGAGTGTCTCTGCTTTTCAAGATCGATGATCACACGGTGTCAAAATCAAACGCTTTGGAAAGGTCAATAAACAGAGCTGCACCAACTCTGCTGTATTATCTAAATACCCGTAATGTCATTCACCAACTTCATTGTCCCGTGGATTGGTGCTAGTTTCTTTCTAAGCCTGACTGGATGTTGTAGACAGGATATCATTTTATACATAAAAACTCCTTTACTGCTCACTCACTAGTCGTTCGAGCCTTTACCAAACTGACATTGTAAAGGAGAGTTGGCCTATAGTTATTTAAAATAGTTGCCTCCCTCCTTTCAGTAAAGGGCAAAGACATANCAGAGCTGCTAGAAAGACAGTCGAACCCGGTGCATTCCTCCGTCTGAATGAAGGGCGGTAATACGAGCAATTTGTCTAAACATTTAGCAAAAGTGCACCACATTCAGACGGAGGAATGCACCGGGTTCGACTGTCTTTCTAGCAGCTCTGTAGCCCCATCCACGAGTAATGTTTCCACGTCAGGTGTTATGTATGCTAGCAGCAACACACGCAGTTAACTCAATGATACAAACATGGGTTAATGATTAGAGGTAACTGAGTTATTTATTTTGTTAAAGTTTCAGCTATTCTGTTTACAGTTCTGTCATCAGATTATTTAATACGATTTGTTAAAACACTGTTGTTTCTTTTGATGTGAAATATTATTTATTTTATTTAAATAAAAAGCAATGTTAATTTTGTTCACAATTTGTTAAGTTAATTTAATAATATATGTATTTTTGAATCAAGTATTCATCTTTATTGTCTTCATTGTTAGTTTCCACATGCCTAAAACAACCTCAAGATAAATCTAAAAGTTGATGGCTAAATAAGAGCGCTTGAGAAATTGTGCAAGGCATAGCCTACAGTAATAGTCCGAATAGTCGATTAATCGTTTCATTAATCGATAGATTAATCGATTATCAAATTAGTCGTTTGTTGCAGCCCTACTAAGGAACCAAACAGGCTAACCTGTTGATTATAATGGAGACTGAATACTACAAGGACATTCTCAATCAAAATCTCAAAGTATGGAGAATTGTTAGCGTTTGCATGTGAAAGTCCAGATCACATTTTGGAAATAAAAAGATGGAGGCCTCTTGTCCTGCTTTTTATCATAAAATCCATTCCTATAATTAACAATACACATCAAAATAGTTCACCGAAAAATTAAGCTTAAAGAAAAGGGATCAGAGCTGGCGAGCTAAGTCTGACCGAAATGTTGTATTTATGATTTATTAGGAGCTTATTGGAAGAAATGGCACTTAATACTGAGTGTAATAGGAGTTAATGTACATAGGGTTGCTGCCCCTTAAGTGCAGTGATGGACTAACATGCTTTAACCCAGGAAGTCCACTGACTGCGATCAACAAATATCCTTTCTTGGAAAATGTCTGGTGTAAATTGTGTAATACTTTGATATATTTAGCTCTGAGCACATCGTAACACAAAAACCCTGTGTTTAAACCATGGTTTAAACCAAACATTTTTACAATGGTATCTTAGCTCCGTCAATAATTCTATTGAATAGCCAATCCACTTAACTAATTAGTAACATGTCAGTTTGTGCTTTTATTAAACAATGTGTTATTAACTTATTGCTTTTGTTCATGAGGTTTTAAAGAATGAAACATGAGGAAACACATGGATCAGAAATAATCATTACAAATCTATGAGTCATTCGTGAACAAAAAATGAAGGCCAGTCAAAGTCAACCTTGATGCTCCTCGTCATAAAAACGGATCCGCTGAGACGACTTTACAGCCTTCACTCTTTATTACAGGGGCGCTGCGTGAACTCACCTTGGCACGGACGTTTTCGAATGAGGCAGGACTCACAAGCGAAAAGCAGATTAGAAACACGTCCTGTTGGGAAAAAGAAAAAAATGTCAATGAAAGCCAATAACAATCCTCTCCCGTAAGGAACAGGACAAATTAAACCCTCCTTAAACACTCAAAAGGTGTGGGGGTTTTCCTTCCCTCTAACTTCCTTATTCATTCAAAGTTCACAAACTTTCCAAATACATTATGCAACAGTGCCTACTATTTAAAAAAAAAACTTCAAGGCAAACACTACACAAGAAAGAAGGTCAAAATAAGTGACATATAATACATCATTGTGTGCTTGTTTGTTATACCGTCTGTGGGTAGGAAAGTGGGCGGAGTCTGTCGTAATCTTCTTGTCCTGCTGTATCCCAAAGGCCCAGGTTCACCGGCTTCCCATCTACCATAACATTGGCAGAGTAGTTGTCGAACCTGACAGAAGTAATGATGTTAGAATGATTCATATAAACCTAAAAACACATTAATATGGACACATTGTGACAGGAAATAGAAACAAAACAGGCTCTTAATTATCTGTTGTGAACTTTTGCTTCTTCTGCTTTCCCTTAAAAATGACTCATCACGTCTTATTTGTACTCTGCTGATGCTATACTCTTGTTTATCAACTTCCTGCAGAGCCACTAAATGGCATAATGACTGACAGTGATGCAGTTTCCTCAAAACTTCCCGAAACATATTTTTCCCTGAATCTGCAGTCCACAGCATGACAATCAACGTTTAGTCTTACATAATTAATAAGATCTACAGTTTTAGATACTCACACTGTGGGGATGTACTCTCCTGGGAAGGCATTGGTGGTGTAGCTGATGAGCAAGCAGGTCTTACCCACAGCTCTGGAGGGGAGAAAAAGTGGATTCACTTTGAGTTTATGATTGGCAAAAAAAAGGCATGCAAAAAGCAACTCTGGTTCTGAATTGAAATGGCTTCCTATTTAGTACAGCTGAAGAGCAGTTGTGTTGCAAATAACGATTGTTGTCATTATTTATTGATCAATTATTTTTCTAAAAACTGTATCTGGATGAACAAAATGTTATACAGTTAATTATATTCCAACGTTGTGTTTTTCCAACATATGATCCACAACCCATAGATATTTTACATTTAACAAACACAAAACACAAATGTAAACATTTGAGATGCTATAACTTGTAACTGGCATTTTTGCTTATAAAAATGCTTTTAATTTCTGTGGCTTTGTGAGCTTTTCTCAAGTCAAAAACAGATACGGTGCGAGTGTGAACTTGATTTGTTGTCAAGCTATGCATACAATAACACTAGATGAAGTACATTTGCCGACATGAAACTTAAATGATGTGGCCTTTAGTATGAACACTAAATATTGCAAGCTTCCTCTTGGTCAAAATCGAAAATAATAAATCAAACGCAGTCATAGGCCCACAAATGACTCCGCTGCTGTGGTATTCACCACACCCTGAAACAGCAGTTATGAGTATGTTTACCTCCCACATGATGTTACCCATATTAATCTCAATCACAGCTCATTCTGTAATCATTGACCAATCTCTAGCTGTTGCAATCTAACCTTAAAAATTATTGTATTTTTTTTTTAAATAATGGTTGAAATAAATAATAAATAAGTTAAAACGCCTCATGTTTAACGTCACAGTGATAACACAACAACTAACACACAAACATGGTGCTTTACTCTTCAAATGTCTCAATTGATAAGTCAATGTTGCCAAACTTAAAGTGTGGTTAGGAGGTTATCTGCCTTGTGATTTCTGACTCACCCGTGAGGGAGGAAACACTGCAACGAAATCACTTAAATCTTAAGATTAGCCAACCACTTGCATACTAGTTTTTTGTAATACATTTGTTTGTCACATCAACATAATTACATATATATTAAACGAGAATAAGTTAAATTGGCTAAAGATACAAGTTAGCTGCCCATAGAGCATAAACCAGTAATTAAAGTTAAAGCTTGTTAGCTAACTTTACCCGTTTGGAAACACTGAAGCAAAGTGCTTTAACGCTAGCTGGTCTGCTGACAGCCTTTTAAGCTAATGTTACACTTTGTTATTCAAGTTAAATATTAGTTGGGAAGCACAAACTAAAAGTAAGCTCGATTACGTTATGACTTACCCATCTCCGACAACGACACACTTTATGGCCTGCATTGCGCCGCAGCTAGAGGAATGCTAAGTTAGCCCGCAGCTAACGTTAGCTCACAAGTCTCTTTCCTTTGTCCGGGATTGCTCGCCGGAGAAACGTCCAAACAGCGCTTTGCTACCGGCCTTCGGTGGTACAGCGGAGCTCCTGCGGTGTGAAAGAGCTTGTGGGGAAGTTAGAGTAACTTATCTAGCACTTTAACACAAGTTCACTCAGAAATCCCCTTGCAACATTCCCATGCTTTCGTGGTCTGATCGGACGCTATGAAGCAAAACAGCGGCCACCACCCCTCAGAGAAAAAAAGAAGAAGCTAGCCACCACCAGATGGTGCATCCGGTGAAGTGCTGGGATGAAACGCCCACAGCAAGTTTAACGATGGGAAACGCCTTCGAAACAATCAGCTGGTGACCCACTGCGTCTTATGAAGTCAGTGAATGTAATGTAACCAGAACAAGTCTGTCTGTTGGTAAGCCATTTTAATTACATTTGTACATGGCCACTTAATAAGATAAAAGAAAATAACAAATAAGACGGAACATTCAGAGTGTGACACCGATTGCGGAAATTACGTTCTTAGGGGATGTCCGCCCTGAACTCTGCCTTCCAGGTGTTTCAGAAACATTCCGCTTTTAAATAATATAGGACGTTTATCTTTGTTTTAGTTAACATATTTACCTCCCTTCTAGTTAATTAACACATGTATCAAGGTAGCTCTGGATTCATATCTTTGTAGATTGTAATATTTGTGTCCATACATATATCAATTCCATATGTTAGTGTACTACATTGATGAACAGAATACATTGGATATTTTGTGATTTTACTGATCCATAATTATATTGAAATAAAAGTATTGTACAATGTAATAAACAAGTTCATGAGTCACATATATATGTTTTCTATTCCATAAATAAATCCTGCCTGGTATCACTTAAGTTATGCATAGTAATAAAAGTCTGAGGGGTGCAGGAACAAAAACCTATTGTCACTGTAACACTTTAACATGATGTTTAACTTCAGGATCAATAAAACATTAATAGTTGCAGTCCTAAAACGGATTTGTCTTAAAGAAGAGTATTTGTTTATTATGTCCACATCCCTTAGAACCAAGTGAATATGGAAATTAATGCCAAAAACCATTTGAATATGGCACCATAATTCAATATTTCACTATAATGTTTTTTTTTTGTTGGTATAATTATCTATTAAAACTACTTGTTTGTTTGTTGGAATGTATGTTTAAAAAAAGTTATTCTTCTGACAATTTAAACAAACTATTAATAATCAGCCTGAGAGTCTAAAGTCAGGGCAAAAAGTAAACATTACACTTTCATCTTCCTTGTGTCACATCGATATGAGTCCTCCCGTCGATGGTAACAGTAATGGTCGGTAGAGACGCTGTTGGGGTGGAGTAGCTCTGCCAACACAACCAGCACAATAAAAATGGAGCTCGGTGCCTGTAAGGGATAAAAATATGAGCTGTCACTCAACAATCAGCACTTTACTCGTCGGTTGGCCTCACTAACTGATACAGTAACCGTAGTAACTAACCGCCCGGGCTGACTTCGCCTGTATGGCGGGTCTGTCTTATTTAGTGCTCCGGTTTTCGGGCTCCGCTGGTCGGACTTACGGAGTGTTTTCCAAAGGCTTGACGAGGACTTTGTTGATATTTTTTGATCTCGCATGGCGATTGCGAATCAGATTTCCTTATATCTACCTGGTCGCTTCGATGATGTTTAATGTCAGATTACAGGTAATTATGCAAACACTCTTCCGTTAAAGTGTCTGAAGTCATGACAATACGTGTATTTCCTGTCTGGTCGTTTTGGTGTTGTTTAAATGTGTCCTTCAAGATAGATGGTAGATTAATTGTACCTCCATTTAAAACTAGCTTCAATTTATTGTACACATGGCTAAAACTAATGCAGTCGCCCATAGTACACCAGTTCTGCAATACACCCCCACTTCCTAAAGGTCACTATGTTCACTCTTTTGGTTGACATCTTTATAAATCGGCGTTGTTTAAATGTTATGGTCAATTTGGTGGAGTTATAGTAAGGCGTTTCTAATATGTTGTCATCCCCACTCACATCAATGAGGTTAGACTTTATTTTTGATATTATTTATTATTATTATATGTATTATTACCTGGACTTTTGCAGTAGATTTTGACATCAATAAAGTTTCCCCTACATGTTTTTTAGAATAATATTCATTAAATTTAAATTAAGATACTTGATGGAGATATTTTAAAGTTGAAAAATCAGCTTTCTGGTGGGCAGTTTCTAAATTATCTTTAATAAAAATAACAGAAATGTATTTGAAATCACATGTGCAGAAAACGATGTGACTAAGCTGATATATTAGATATACTGTACCATCCATCACAAGTGTCTATGTATTATTATATATAAAAACTATTAAATCACATTTAAGGCACTACAACCAGGATTCAAATGAATACTTATCAGATATTCTAATAATACAACAACTAAAACAGTTAAATTACAGTTAGAATACTTTAAAATATTATATTGAACTAACTGTTACTGACATTTGAATTGCTGTCAATAATTACACTTACAATTCTTTCATCTATTGTTTACAACCACAAATTGCCTTCCAAATTAATCTAATGCCTAATAAACTGGCAGCTAAGCATGTGATGCTGATCTTAAAGTCGATTGCAAAAGTGTGTTAACATATTTGTTTTTAAATAGATTAGTGTGTTATCCATTCATTTTATATGTTGACTTACAGCCTCCTCATCTCTTGACAGGTGCACATTGAAATTCACTGAATCTTCAACCCTATATTTGGAATGAAATCGATGGATCGTGGCCAATGCCGTGCTGCAGCCCTCTTAAAGGAACTGTGTGGCACTACACAGCAATTTGAAGGAAAGTGGACACTTAATTCTGTGCGACGATGCATCAAAGTGACACACACAGCTGGTCGTCGTCACGGTCAGCCCTCGCCACACAAGCCCAGTGCCTTTGCAGAAGAAGGACAGCAGGAAAGTCAGCAAAAAAGAGCCAGGATGAGCGGTGATGAGTGATGGTGGAGGGGGAAACAATGCCTCACGTTAACCCTTTTAACTCGCCACCTGACAACCAGGAGCCGCCTGCCTGTCTGAGGAGATAACGTCAGATGACTGGTGGATTTTGACACTTCCTTTTACCTCTGGATATTGAGGACTTTGGCCTGGAATAAAAAATGAATGATTGTTACTGTGGTACGTTTTAGCTTCTCTTCATTGTCTGACACAACAACTGCTCAGTGCTCAGTGTCAACATCTCACATTAATTAAAAAAGTAAATATCTGCACCGCATGACACAAACAAGCATGCTGTGGCTCGGGATGCTTTATTTGGGGTTGGCTGTATCAGCGGTACATCTTTGTTGTAGCAGAACAGTACAGCTGCCTCTACTGGAAACGTACGGTCTGTTATAAAGTGAAGTGTCAAAGGGAATCACTGCATGGTTCTTTCTGTTTGCACACACGTCATCTCACTCATTGTTATTTCTGCATATCAGTGGCAGTGGAAAGGTGGCGTGGGGAAAATGTTACCTTTTAATTTAAAACTTTTTTTTAGCTGCTTTTGTTTTTATTTCTGTGGAAAATGTGAGCGTCTGGTTGGAATTCACATAATTGAGGCTAAGGATGAGTGCATTTGGAAAGTAATAAATTAATGAAATCACAGTTTTCAGCCTTTTTCTGATTTTCTTTTATTTTCTAGGTTTGCAAAACTACATTTTTAAAACACAGTTAGTCCATCCCAAGACTTTTACACTTTTTTAATGTTGTATTAGAGTTTCTTAGCTGTCAAAGAATACACCAAAGTGCTCCTCTTTAAAAAAACAACAACAAAAATCAACATTTATACATGCATTCCTGTTAATGCATGTCTTGAGACAACATACATAGCAAAATATGACACCTTCAAATCCTTCATGTTCTTGTATCACCTGTTACATAATACAATATATAATTTGTAATGTAAAAAGGGGAAACGTCAAACATTGTCCCCACTTCACACCCAGAGAAACAAAGAGAATATAATAATAATAATAATAATAATAGAAAAAACGTTTGGTTCTTGATACCATTTCACTTCATGCATGAGACATTTCCCAACATAACCATGGATGTTTAAATTGTGTTTTTTTCTACAAACCCTTATACTTATATTTTCAACAAGACAAGACAAAAGTGTCAAATCTTTTCAAAACGTTTCAAGGTCCCATGTCATGGCCATTTCTACTGATCATAATTCCATTGTTGAGGTCACATACCTCATTCACACCAACGGTGTTTCAGGGCCGGTTCGGAGCTGGAGCTTGAAAGGCACCGGGTTTTCCTGTTCACACCGCAGTGGAGATGCCTCTTAGCTCCGGAATCCGGTTTCAAGCACCAAAAAATTGTCCGGCCAGAGCAAAAGCACCACTTACGTCACGCTTACGTCGAGGCGGGGGCAGGGGCGGGATCAACTCCTGAACAACAACAAAAAGCCCGCATTTTATCCAGTTTGTACACAACGAGTGAGAAACTTAACAAGCAGCAGTGGTCCACTGAAGAGACCAGCTACCTACTGGGAATCTGGTCTTCTGAAGAGGTACAGAGGAAGCTGGAGCACAATCGGCCATTGTTATTGTTGTTGTCGGTGTCAGCTGTGAGGGGTTTCCGCGCGCTTTGGCGCAAACGATGACGCAATGACGCAGCACCAGTCGGACTCTGGGCATGTGAAAAGAGCCGGAGCTAAACCGAAGAACCGGTTCTGAACCTGAAAAGCTCTAGCCGGAGTTGCGTTGGTGTGAATGAGGTAATACAGCATCTCTGTAAAGTATGTGTATTCACTCTCTGTCCTACACGCCTTGTTGGTGCTCCTGCCCCCCCTATGAGCCCACTCTGTTCTGAGTCAACTACCGTTACAGCTGAACATCAGTGTTTATGTGTTACAATGGCGTTTGCTAGCAACCAGAAAATGACACCAGTAATGACAACCAGATGAGAATGCTGCGTGGGGTCTGGGTGCCGTGTTGGTGGGACGTTGCGGGGCTCACTGTTCCACCCTTTGAGGCTCGCGGAGAGGACAGTGTGAGCTGGATTACTGGTGTCGTTTCCTGGTTGCTGCGTGGGGTCTGAGTTCCGTGGAGCTCAGGCTGTGTGTGTGCGGATTGGTCCATTTGGACTTAGTGACGTCAATAGGCCCCGGGAAGAAAACAATGGAAAAAGACAAATGTACAACGAGGCGTTCTGGGGCAGCATGGACACGTCTTTTCTGTGTTAGAGTTTTACTCGCTACAGGGTGTACTTTGAGGGTGACTTTGCAGACCGTTTACATGCAGAAAAAGCTACATAACACACAAGGGGACGGGTAATAACCGGAAAAGCATATGATGGGACCTTTAACAATGCAGCCCTTTTATGATGAAAAACTTTTTTTGACATTAAAACAAATATCAGAAATGCCCAAGTTGTTAATTGAAGAATGTTTTTTGCTCCTTTTAAAATATAGACACTATGGTCTTAACACAAGCTCTCCTCCATTCTTCTGTGGACATTTCCCCTCAAAACAATCCAAGTTTCAATTTAGGCTCCAGTCACCCCTTTACCTTTTGGTATTATTGTCAGCCCCCTTGACATACAGTATATAACTGACATTTCAAAAATAAATCCATCTAGCATGAACTGTTGCAGCACCATCTCTGTCCACAGGGGGGAGGCAGCCTTCCACAGCACTGCACCCCCCTCCTTGTGCATGAAAACAGACATCACAAGCTGTAACATCTGTAAAGAGGATGCACTGGCTGATACAGGAGCGATTACACAGACACCAAAGCTGTTGATTAACAAGAACTTTATCTGTCTATTGGTTTTACTCTAACACACTTTTTAAAAATAAACGTCAGCCATAACTCTACTGCTGGAAAGGAAAAGTGAACTCAGCTTACACTCAGGAGTATTTGCTTCTTCTCTCTTTGATCTACATCAATTAAAAGACCCTCTGTGATCCATCTTTAAAGAAACACTGAGCAATTGAGCCTTAGACAGCAGACCCATTTGGCATCTTTCTTGAAGGTGCACTTGTTTTAAGTAGATGTTTTAAACTGCTGACACCCTCACTGGGCAGCAAACTTCTCCTCGCAGTCGCTCCGATGCCAGGCTGCAGAGTAAATTCATCTGGCGTTTCCAAGGCAACTGTATTCCTCCATGTGACACACAAACCCACACCCTTTCTCTTGAAAAAAAGAGGATTTATTTCTCAGGGATTTGCCAGAGGAAAATATTTTAATAGGGTTATCATAGAGTAGGGGATGGGGGTGGGGGGGGGTCTATAGATGGAGGATAAGTCGGGTTATCTTTACTCTGTTTTTGCCAACCACCATTTGTACCCTCAGAAAAAAAGGGTTTGTGGAATAAAGATTAGAGAGTTTTAGCCTTTGGCATCTGCAGCAGCTCACATGTGTTTTATTTGAGTGAGTGTGAAAGAGTGATAACACTGCAAATGGAAATGGCAGCAGGGATTCAATCAAAGCTGCAATGCAGTATATTTAATTCCATACACATTATTCATAAACCTTAAACAATTTATTTGTGTGGGATATTGAGACTTTGTGAGATTTTAAATGTTCTACTTCATCATTTTAAAACCAGTTTTTCAGAGGGACATCTATATCTACTCCATTAATGATTGTAAACTTCTAGTAAATGCATCAATTTAGTTTTGTTCCTTTTCGACCTTAAAGAACTAGTTTGACATATTTTTGAAAATGTCCTTTTCCGCTTATCTTGCAGAGAGTTACAAATATATGAGATCTTCTTATCATTCAATTCTTAACCAGATCGCAAAAAAGTATCAAAATGTCAAACTATTCCTTTAAAATAAACAACTACCTTGGGAACAGAAAGTATATCCCTTAGTTTCTGGGTCTCCATACCCGGTGAAACGTAACACTGAAACATTGTTGAAGACCTAGACACTTCTTTAATTAAACATTTCACACAAACATGTCCTTTGATCAACAAATCCACCCTATAATTTCTTAATAAAACATCGTTTTTTTTATTGTCCCTATAAAGTTTAACCACAACCACAATGACATCCCCCTTGCCACATCTTGTCACATCTAGATCACGGCTCTGTTACACTTCATTTTGAAAAGTCTTTGTCTGCCATCGATGTTGTGCTTTGAACACAAACAGGAAGCAATGCCTTTTTTTTATTATTTCTTTATTATTACAGTTGGAGCAACTTACTGTCGATACCCAAATGAGGAAAAGATGATTAAACTCCACATGTTTCTAAAGTGACTCATGTCAAATAATTGTTTTCCTCCGTTGTTAACAAACAACTTTTATATTGTGACATGATGTCGGTCAGTACTTCATGAACCATTTTAATTTACACCCATTAATACATCACATCCATGCATAGTGAATGGATTACAGATGCAAAATGTAATCAAACATTAATCCTGATGCTTTTAGTCTTTTACACTGTGATGTATGCTGATCCCTTTCACTCTCAGTTTGAGGCTCTGGCCTTTCTGTGAGTATCCACCTCTGTGTGGTTTCATTAAATAAACCTGAGTCCCCCCTCAGTTTGAATGCTGTTGACCGGGGGACGAGAGGCATATGCCAAGCGTTAAACAGGATGAGATCAGGTGCGGAGATGAGCTCCATGCTGACCTCAAAACTGAATCAAAGGAGTGAGAGAGGGATGGGGGAGGAGAAGAGGAAAGGAGGAAAGGAGGAGGCAAAGAAGGGAGCATTGAAGGGGGGATGTGTGCTTTAATCATATTGTGGGATTAAAATAGGCCATAAGCTAAAAGAGCATTAATATGAGGAGGTGTAAGTTTGATATTTTTATATTGTCATTTATATTAATTATAAATATACAGTTTTATATTGAGCAAAGCATTAAGAAGTATTTGAAATGATTGTTTGCTTTGCATGATGCCTTGTAATAATTTCAAGCGTTGTGTTCTCACAAAAACAGCAAATTGACTTGACCTAATTTTCATTCTTGCAGCATCAATATACCACATAGAATGATATGTTAACATGCTCTGACTGCCGGCTGCGTTTGACTTAACGGCTTCATTTATATACATCAGATCCTGCCTTTATCCCATGTTAATGTGTTATCCAGTATGTTGCACTCCTCTCTGCTCATACACTATTTCCTGATGTCTCTAATGATGAGAAATACAAATACTTCTTGGGTTACTGATGAGCATAGTTTGTGTTTTTTCACCTCATTTTGGAGTGTAGGCATGCAAACCCTTGTATTAAGCTCAGTAGTGAAACTTCTACGTGGAATAACCTTTGCAGCTTCTTATGTAACCACAGCAGGTCTTGGAGGATTGTATTTTGAATGTGGACACACACACACACACACACACACACACACACACACACACACACACACACACACACACACACACATTCTCTCACACGCAGCTTCACCTACAAGTTCTCGGGCACACACTGCTGCCTTTGTGCCCGGCAGACAGACTCCAAATAAAGACTCTACTTATATGCGTCCTTGGGTGCAGAAAATGAACTCAACTTTGCCCTTCGATCAGATGGCGGTCGCGATGCAGAGCTGGATATAAAACGAGATTGAAGGAAGGAGGAAATCCTGCTCAGTCTGCATCCTGTGACCTTCTGTCACACACGCCAAAGATGAACCCTTTCACCTTCCACCCCAGGAAGGAGGTGTGAAACCCCTGTCACATCCCCGGTTTACGACAGTCTAGGCCATGATTTGGGAGATAAACACAAAGAGGAAGATGGACAAAAACTCCCAAATCCACCCCTGATTCAGCAAAACATCCAATAAAATCCCCCACAAAAAGGAGCTCAGTTTTCTTTATCAAAGTATTTATGTGGTTAAATTCACTGCCTCATCTCTTCAGTGCTTCAGCTAATATGCTTAGCAAGCATATACAATAATACAGTTTTGGGCCATACATTGCCTCCCTGTCTCTAAATACTACAGTGCTCGTCGCTGATGCCTTTTACAGTATATTTGCATTGTTCAAATACCTCCAGGCGGGTTTATGCTTCGGAATGATTTCCACTTGATTACATTATGAAGGGAGTGCTTTTGGGGAGTGAGAGTTATAGAAAAAGGGGGGTTGCTCATGTGTCTGTGTGCGTATAATTATGGGTTGGGCAGTTTTAAATGGAGGAGGTGATCACCCTCCGGGCATCGCCGTGGTGACTGGAGCATATGAAGAAGTATGACTGCTCAATCAGGTCACGTGAAGTCGGTCAGGAGGACCACAGACGTATGTGCCAGACGCGCGTCTCCCTGAGGGGATTCACGCACCCTGAGTGGCACGGGACCCACTGAGCCCTAAAAACCCCACACATGTTCACTTCAAGCCGTAGACTGTACTCCAGGATGACTTTGTAACCTTTTTTTTTGGTTTTGTCCTCACAAACGTTAGTCTTTCACCACACACGAAACTGATATCTTGTTGATTTTAAGGCTTTAAAATAACTGGGCCACACCAAGAGGTTTCTCTCGTGACTCATAAACACATTAGCATGACATTTATTTGGAGTAGAGCGCACTGAGTGTGTTTGTGTGCCAGAGAGACAGACTCAGGAATGGAATTGCTTTTAATGGAACATCTTCAATGAGGATGCTCTGCTCAACCGGGTCCAGCACTGAGACAAATGGACAGTAACACTAGTAACAACAACGTACAACAACGTATTTGTTTAACCATATTCCCAAAGCTATTATGCATATGACCTATTTTACACTTGTAGCAGAGAAAACATTCAAATCAGGGGTTGCTCTGTGTGATGATGTCTTTGCTTCAATCCTCCTGGTGTGTAAAACCTTAGGAAGAAGCTTGCCGGGCCCAAACAGAGTGGTTTATTTTTTCCCTTGCCTAACACTCCACCGTTCCTGTTTTCTTTTGTGTTTTCCACTCTCCTAATTTGTGCACATTATGAATGTCTGAAACTCTGTCTGGATGCATTTCCCCAAATATCTGATATATTAACCAACACCTTAGGCCAGTACGAGCAGCGCGTTTATGCAGGTGTTACTTCAGGGTCACTGTGTTTAGGTTTCCAGTTTTCCGTTCTCTTGTCATCCGGCACCACCCTGCAACAGACTGGATCGTGCCGGATCGAGGGGGTTTACTGGATTGTGTAATGATGTGATTTTGTTCGAAAATGACTCACTTTAGCCTCGCAGTTTCTGTTCAGTTCCTAAACCACTACCTTTTTAGAAGATGGTGAAGCAAACTTAAGGTATATCTGATATACAGCTATCAGAATATCAGCCTGTGAAAAGGACACATTCACAAGGATGTGGTGTGCAGTTTAACACATGCTTAGAGTGTCAGTAACCAGTCAAACCGATCTGATTAGATTTCAAGAGGCCTTGACCTCACGGTCCTGAGAAACCAGGAGAACTGTTTGTGTTATGTCTGGAGAGTGTCACTTTGTTTAGGACAGAGGACTGAGAACGAAACATTTCTCCAAAAGAGACACTTATGAATAAACAAATGAATGAATACGTTAAAACATCTGTTCATGCTTGACCATTGGAGTAATGCACACAGGAAGTGAGACCCCCTCCTTCTCTGTGGAGGCAGGAATGCTATAATTGAAAACACGTGTGTAAAAACAAGCTTTTTCTCTCTTTTTCTGTGTGTCTGAGTGTGTGTGTGTCAACCTGATGCCTCTTTTTGCTTATGTAAGTATTTTCCACAAGCTCTCATAGTCCGATCTGAAATCAGTCTGTTTCAGATTGCTAGTTTTTTCCAGTGGAGTATTGATTTTAATTTATTGCATTCTGAGCTGCTGTGTACTTCTTTCAAATAATTTCTGCTGTGGGGTTGATTGTCACAATGCTTGGTTAGTGGCCATGTTAATCTATAAAGTGTTTTTGCACCAATGAAACTTTGAGAGGTATGAAAGAAAACCTGCAGATGTCAGCCTCAGTATCTTCTGTGTGCTGATAAAGGTAAGTTCAAACCTAGTGTCCCGTATACATACAAAAGTCCTGCAATAAATAATTTCTCCTATAGAATATAATGCTTTGTTTTAGTTTAAGTCTACCTGACTGGCAATAGTGTGTGGAAAAGGATGATCAAATTATCATATTCATTTTTTTAAAATCCTATTCTGACAAAATAATCAAATTAGGAAAATAATAGTTTGCAATGCTAAAAGCAAAACATTTACTCAAGTCTGGCTAAAACTACCTTTTAACAACCTATAAGAGGCTTATGCAATATGATGCAGTGATTTACATTTAATGTCAAAGTCTGTTGCTCACTAATTCATGTAAGTGTAAAAAAGAAAATCTGTTTGCCATCTTCTTTTTAATACTAATACCTAGGGATGCTCCGATCGGGAATATTGGGATTATTCATAACACTCTGAAAGGAGTGTTTAAGAGCAATCAGTAATCTTACATTAGTGTACATTTCGCTGATAACACATCTGTATTTTTACCTAATATGTTTTAATCCATAATTCTGAATTGTAATTAAGTAATTTTAGTATTTTCTTATTTGTAATCATAATTCGTCCACCACATATAGTGTAATATTCGCCCCCAATAAATATAAAACATTCTTTCGATCTTTTCCAGTAATTGCCATTAATTAATCAGTTGAATTAGGTGGCTGACATAGCTCCCAATGCCATAGCAGCATCAAACCATTTCGTATAATCAATACAAAAATATAGAGGTATATATTGCTGGGTATAATGTCACTATTGCCTGGAGTCACGTGATCGATGATTGGTGATGACTGATGACGCGCAGCACTGGCTGTGTGAGCTGGGATGTGATTAACAAGTAGCATCGATTCACATGAAACAGCCCCCGCACTTCCTGATTTTAGTTCCAAAATAAAAGAAAGCTTTTTATAAACCTTTTGGTAATCTTTTATTTTGAAGTTACACTTACGTATACTTCCGATATTGCCACCAGGTGTGATGGACGGCTTTACGCAGCCATGCAAACTACTCTCCTAGTGGAGTGAAGGCGTATTTGTAGGGATAAGGATAACACGCTCGTCCACTGTGGGCAAAAGACGCGGCTGCTGCTACAGACACACAGCGCGCACTGACTGACGGGAACCGGAGGGGACTGCCTCACCACTGTGAGGCGTAAATGGACACAACATTTCCCAAAAGAAAGACGCTGCCCGCAAAACGACCTGTGTCCCAAATGCGTCCTGGAAATTAATTCGCGTATTTGCTGTATACCAGATCCCCTTTTCCACCCTGCACAACGGAAGTTTCTCTGACCGATTTTTCGAGGATCTTTCATTTATAGGCTGCAAACATGGAAGAGGACAACCAAGGTATGATTCATCAATGCAATTCAGACCAATGAATAGTAGCTGTTTCAGTACTAACAGTCAGGAGACATGTCCCTATTTAGCCTGCAGCTATAATAATACAATTAAAGATAGTGTTATTGATACTGATTCTTGGCCTATGTTTTTGTTGTGGTTTTAGACTAGACATGCACTTTTTCACGTGTCATTCCAGGTACATGCAGCACATTGATCTTATATGTCCTCATACAGTCTTCTTTTCCACATCAGCATTTTCTTAGATGAGACTGCCAAGGC